TACAGGCTCGATAATAGGTTTTATTCATGAATAGTGCTGTAAGAAAATAATTTTCAGGCACAGTGAGTCCCTGCCCTATATAGAGTTTACAATCTATTATCTGGTGCCTGATGCACAAAGGTATAAAGTGACTCAACAAATATCAAGGGACTGATATGAAAATTCAACAAATTGCCACGGCTTAAAAAATTCCTTAGTATAACTATGACATTTTTCTTTTTTCTTCCAAGTTTCCTCTGGATTCAGATGCAAGTTGTGCCTTGACAAATCTGCACAGTGTGATTATCAAACTTCTGTCAACAATTTTGGGTGGGAATTACTTTTTTAGTTGGCCATCAGTTATAGCTATCCGTGTTAAAGAATTCTGGTAAGTAATTGTTTCACAGAAGAACATCACTTGCACTTGTTTTCAAGAAATCACTTGCAACTGTTTACAGAAACGGTGTAGTTAGAAGTAAGAAAACTCTTTTACTGAAATAAAATCTTTGCGTGTATCATCAAGAAAATCAGATTGAAAATGATGAGTTAACTTTAAAATTTCCTAAATGTCTAGAAAGGGGCAGAATGTGTTTGTCTCTGATCTATAGACATCAATTCTGTGACTGCTCATCTGAATATATGTTGGAAGTAGGAAGGAAGACAGAAGGAAAAGAGAAAAGAAAACAGGATTCAGGACAGGAAGGAAGAAAGAAAGGAAGGAAGAAGGGAGGGCAGGAAAGATAGGTAGCATGTGGAAGGTGGGAAGGAAGGATGGATTACTCTTCATGGAAATGGTCATCTTGAGCTCTGGTCCCCATTTGCTTCCCGAATCTAAAAAAGAAGCTTTCGCTGGTAGATCTTTGGTATTTTTTAATTGTTTTTCTAAACACATAAATTCAATCTGACACTAAAGACCGACAAATACAAACTGAAATAAATTAACAGAACAAAATGGAAAACAGAGGCAAATGGCAAACATATGTAGAAGACATATAGGGAGAACTAAAACGTTACATAAAAAAATATACTCATGCCTCTACTGAAAAAACGTAATGATTGGATATTGTAGGAACCCAGGTGTGGCAGATGTTGCAAAGTCGCTCAAGATGGCATATCACGCAATACGAGATCCACTAATGGAAATCGTTATTCTGGAGAGACGAGCAAACAGAAAATGGTATTCTGGGGAGCAAAACAGCAGATGTCAGAGAAAAGCAATTCAGTTGATTGAGAGCCAACGGGTAAAGCTTGTCCTCACCAGTAAAAGGAAACCACTTGCCAAAGACAATAAAGCTCAATGTTTGTCGTGTCATCCTTCACATCCCTGAAGCGGCATTGGACAGAGGAAACAATATATATATATATATATAAGGAGAACTTGCTTTTTCCCCTGCTTATTCTCTTACAATTTGTCACACTGTGTTGTCAGGTCAAATGTTTTATGTTGTGATTAATACCTTACAGTAATAGCTCCTATCATCTGTGCAAAACACATCTAGCATCCCTGAAAGTAAATTCTCTAGAACTATATATTATTATTTTTATAGGTTTACAAAGTGGAGTTGATTTTACAGTTCTTTTTATGTGTTTTATATACAATCATCACCAATCGGTTGGACTTCAAAAGTAAAAAATAGCATTATGATCTTTTATGAGGTTTAGAAGATATAATATCTCTCTATATATTTCTCTAATATATTTTTCATTTGTAAAATGACAAATATAAAACAGATCTCAAAGGGAAACTGAATAAGACATATACTAGGTGTACATTAATTTGGGAAACATAAGATATCAAAATATAAGCATCTGTTCAGAAAAGTAAATTAAATGCATCATAAAAATATAGCCTGAATGTCACAATATATTTCTTATAGTACCATTACAGCTGTTGTGTTCAGTTGGTAGCTGAAAGAAAACATTGTAGGTTGAGAGTTATTTAAACGATCAGGTAGCTCAAACTCGGTATTTCAGGTACGGGTGGATGATGGAATCACCCACTAGTGGCAATGTGCATTTACCCACTAGGGGTTCTCTGAGGGATTTGTGTGGATGTCCACACAAACGAGATGGGGAGAATCCCGTCTCTTGCTGTGTTCTCTGTAACTGTAAAACAAACAAGGCATGCAGGAAAGTAAGCAAGACAACCCTCATAACATCATCGGCATTTGGGCAAGCTTGGCAAGAGGACCCTTTAAATGTTTCCCCAGGAGAAAGGGGCCTATAGGGAGCTAGCACTAACTCTGTTGAAGGCATGTGATCATCCATAACCCCTGAAATCCCTTCACTTCTTGGTTCTGTTGGTGCAGCAGAACCCATAAATACTGGGCTGATGTTTTCACATGGTGGCTCTCTTTTTTCCCCACCCCAAGCACCTTTCCAGTGTTGTATGGGCTTATCATTATACCCACAGCCCCACCAGCCATTCGGATACCAGCCCATATGCTTGGTGTCCTGGGCTGATGTTATTGAAGGAAATCTGTAGTGATGAAGAATGGAGGCAGCTATTGCTGACCTGTCCTCCTGAAAATACTGGCTCCCGGAATGTCAGCTGATCTAATGGCTTCATTACTTTGGAGAAATTGAAGAGAGAAAAAAAAGATAGTGGAAAAAATGTAAACACAAAATAGGCTGATTAGACCATGTAAACGTGGATTGTGTGATTGGCCTGCAAACTGGCTTTTTGATAGTACATTCATCTGTATTCAGTGGCATAACTACAAAGTAACATTGGTGCAGTCCAAAGGTTGGATGCACATTTGCAGGCTTGAACCACAGCACCTGTGACCAAGGTTTGATAAAAGAAGCTTACAAATATAAATATCGGAATATAACATTACTATTTCTGCCAGCAGAAGTGTAGTGAATATAGTGAATACTTCACAGTAAATGGGCAATGTGTATGCCAAGACTCATAGCTCCTGTGCAGCTTCCACTGAAGTGGGTTGACTTCTTGAATGAGGCAACAAAAGGTTCATCTTACAGTACTGCTTACACAGAGGACGACCATACCATGTGTGCACTATATCCAACCATACAAGGGAGGCTAATAAATAATAGATGTGTGTGAGGATGGAACCTTCTTTGGCTATCACAAATACCTGGACACTTTACAGTGGTGGAATCTACCTACAGTATATACAGTGAAGTGTCTGTACTCAGCCAGTATATGAATAGGGGAGTGAAAACATTTTCTCACCAAGGGGCTTTTCCCGACTTTGTCTGCCACTTTGCTTACATTATGTAACTGATGTAGGATTAAACTTTCCTCAGTTTCTGTTTGGTTGCTAAAGGTTAACACCCTGCAAGAAAAATGTTGTGGTCTACAACAGAAGAAACTGTAGATTGTGTTAACTATAGCTGTGTTTGTTGAATGAGTTACTTACAACCCTCAGCATGCATAAGCATTCCATAGACAGAAATGTAGTAAATAGGCAACAAGTGTCTATGGTTCCCTGGTGACAGCAAGCAAAATTGACCATTGATGATAACTCCAACATTGCTTTACATACGGTAACTGAAGAAACATGAAACCAAAGTTAGAGATAATGAAAGAACCATAATACAACCACCATGCATATTGGAAGACTTATCACTCAGCATGTAATGATGTGTACTCATTTACAGCATCAGCATGATATCATAAATATCCAGGTAGTTAAATGGCTGTATTACTTAGGTTTACAAATGCAAAAAAAAGTGTTATAAACAAATACATGCAGCCTGTGTGAAATGCAGGGGACAAAATCTGTGGTAATCTCTTCAGAGGAGTGGCAGTGATGCTATACACTATTGCTATCTATAGCTAATTTCTAGAGGTTAAAGTCTATAAAGGAAAAAAACACACTAAACCTACTGGCTGAGCCGGGTACTAAGGTGCTAAGTGTTTTTTTTGTTCATTTTTGCCATAAAATTTAAATATATATCTACATAAACAGAAGGGACTATAAAAGAAAGACTTCTTTTAATTGACACTATCTACTGTTTCTTTTAAGGTGTGTGTAAAGCAAAAGCATTTTATTTACCTTTGCATAGAGTAGGGAATAGTCAACACCCCTGTTAGGTTTTTTTTTTCTGTCCCATCAGGGAGACTTTCCTTTACTTCTTGACCTAGAAACACAGCAGGGAGCAAAGGGTAGATCTATCTAAAGTAAAGGGAAATCTCCTCATAAAAAGTTGTCACTAGAACAAGTTTCACCATTGAAAGATTTCTCCTCATAGCCTGTACCTGTGAAGTTTTGGACTTTCAATCACTTTCTGAACTAGAGGCAAAGGTCTCTAGGACAAACAGAGTAAAACCCTCCAGCTGGGACGCAGACAACAATAGAAAACCAGACAGAGGCTCTAACTCTTCCACATTTGATCCAAAACTAAGAAAAAAAATATTTTGGCTTTACATACTTTAAACTTTGCTATACATTTTAGGAATTCATTGTCATAAATAAAAAGATCCTATATATTGTGACATTCAGCAAATGGTATTGCAAGCTCATTATAAAAGCAGCAGCTATGAAAGATTTCTGATACAGTCCTACCATCTTGTCCATTCCTCAAAGTGGACAAGAGTAAAAATCAGTTACATAAGGCATGCTCTTGGGAAGAAATATCATAAAAGGACCTTCCCAATATTCTGATAAAAAGGTGCAACAGCCCCTCTCTTCTGCCTCTTTATTAATCGCCAACATCCCATATTCTGTGTCTTGGCTCTTCTCCCGTCCTCGGCTCCTGGGTCATAGTGATATGTGCAAAGTATTTTTGAGACAGAAACCGCATAGAAACTGATATTTAGTGGAGACAGGATAAAACTAGACCAACCAAATGTTTTCTGCAGCCCGCTTTCAGGTGCCACCAGAACATGCATTTGGAAACAGTTCTGTGCTCCCCAGGAACATGCTGGTCATCTATGCGTTGACAACTCCCTAAAACAAACTCCCATTTAGAACTTTGAGTTCTAGGCAACTTGGAATAATTGAGAAAGGGGCACATCCTTCCAGTGGAAATTTTGATATTTGTAGGCAGTCTTAGCTTGATCCAAATATGTCCCTCTCTGACTCTGGAGACTGGGGCCGTGATATTTCAAAGATTTCTTGGGGCGACTGTGAACATCTTCTTGAGGCCAATATTCTTAGAATCTCAGCAAGCTGTTTTTCAATATTGGTCATTTTTGAGTTCAAGGCTTTAATGTCTTCTTTTAACTCAAGCTTCACCTCTAACACTGTAGCTTGAAGAGTCTGTTCTGGAATGGGATAAAAAGTGTGTTTAACCTCTGTCTGTACAGGACTTCGGTCCTGGGGGCTTCTAGTCTCTCCAACACTGTCTAAGCGTAAATCACTTTTTGTAATGCCACTGTCACATGAATCTGTCTTCTTTAAGGTAGCCTCCCCTGAGGGTTTAGTTCTGTCAGGCAGTATTTCCATAGACTCTGCCTTAGCCACTTTGTTCCAATCCTCCCCTTTCCCACATGCATCTCTAAACCTGGCCCACCCTTTCCTTTTCACCAACTCCCCGGCCACTTTACTTCCAGCTGTTTCAGATACTGGAGCATGTAGTTTGGCACGGTCTGACACTCCGGAGGTGGACGCGGCCTGGAATGATGTCGGTGTTGCAGGACTTTCTGTGACTGTAACCAAGCTGGCTTTTATGGTGTTGCGCACGGAATGTTCCACCAGTATGTTGCCTTTCTCAATATCATTGGGATCCCTTCCCCTCTCAGCTGCAAGACGGGCCTCTTTCTGCTGGCGGAATCTCTGAAAGAGTCGCCGGACAGGGTGGTCGGGTGGGAGGATCAATGGTGCTTCATTTTTACTTTTCATCCACTCTTCTTCCTCTCTTTTCACATCACTGATCTTCCGGAACACTATCTGAAAGACAAAGAATATGGTATTCATTCTTTGGTAAATTTGAATGACAAATATTTGTTTTTGTTGGTTTTACAGGAGAACCAAAAGAAGAAGAGGACAAATTACAGCTACAAGATTATATAGGAATGTCTAGCTGAGTCTTTCTCAACCTGGGTTTCATGGAACCTTAGAGGTTCCCCAGAGGTTGCTAGTGGTTCCTTGAACAATGAGAAATTTCCGTTCCTTAGATAAGTAACGACTGATGCCATTGATCTTTTTAACGATCTGTAAGGAAAGGCATTTTACCCATTAACTACTAATGTAAGGGCATTCTTCCCACTGGCCATACGACTTACCACCATTGTAAGTGGCATTCTTTTTACTGACCACCAGTGTAAGAGGACCTTTCCGCCTTAGTGACCACCATGGACTGTGCATGGGTGGTCAATAATTAAAACATTGGTGGTCCTACAACTACACAATATAAGGGGGTCTTCCTCAACTGACCTCCAATGTAAGGGGGGATTTCTCCACTGACCACCAATGTGAGAGAACACTACAATTTTCACTATCTGCATTTCTTTTCTGGTCATTATTAATGGTTCTATTACATTATTTTACTGAAAATACTTTGCTGTACAGTACAGGCCTGGGTGTCTATTACATTAACTAATATACCCCAAGATGTATATATAGAAAATATTAGCAGGGGTTCCCTGCGACCTGAAAGTTTATTCAATGACTCCTCTGTATTGAAAAGGTTGAGAAAGGTTGTATGAAAGGGTCATTCTCACTAAAGAAAAAGGTTACATAATTTTTTAGGTTGAAAAAAGACACAAGTCCAACAAGTTTCACCTATAGAATCTGTTTAAGATTTTGACAGTTTATCATAGCTCTCAGAGACTGTATAGGAGAGATCTCTTCTGTAAGTTTCTGAGTCTGCACACCTACTGTGACCACTGGGAGGAGTTACCACTGTCCCTGTTGTTGTTGTTTTTTTAGATGTTATATTACAGAGATTGCGACAGAATGAGCCAAAACAAGCAAAGGTAGGGAAGAGCAGGCAAAACTGCTAGTTGGACATAAACAGAACAAGGAATTAAGATCTTACTGTTGAGTATAAAAAACAAAAGAGATGCCAAGGGCTGACTCGCCCAACCAGGCTCCTCCTACAACTAAAAAAAAACACTTTTTGGTAGACAATCTCTTTAAGCGAATGGCATCTGCCGTATTTAGGAAAGCATTAAGATCTAGATAAATCTCGTAGTCTCTTGGCTGACCCCCAAACACTGGAGACTTCTTACACAGCTGTTTTGCTTAACTTCCTATCTGTGTGGGCTTCAGTACTTTCTGAGTCAAAGGCCTTGAAAGCCTTGAGAAGTCTGCAGGGCTTACTTCTAAATTCTGGATCTACAAATTCATTCCAAGTCAGTGAATCAGGAAGCACTGAAGCCAGGTAGTTATGTTCAGAAGAAGAGCTCAGCAATGGCAGACAACCGGTTTCCCTCACGACGGGTTCTCTTTGGCCAACATTCCAGACCTGTGCGTACGTGTACAACATTTTTTTGTATTACATTTTCCCTTTTATGGTTCAGCCACAATGAGTTTCCTATTCCTTACTTATACCGGACATAAATATGACTAGTCAGTGAAGCACAAGGTTTCTTTATTAGCAGACAGCACTGAAGGTTTTATTTCCCATGATGCTACGGAAATGGTCATCCATGTCTGCAATTAATGAGTTTGCGCTATTGTTAGTACAATAGTGGAGCTTTGTTTCCCACAAGGGGAATTTGTGAGATCAGAGTCAGCAGTAATGTTACAGTCCCAATATTTGGTGCTTTAATGGGCTTCTTGGCTCTTTGGGACAACTGTTCTTAGCATGAGGTTTTAACTATAGCTTGGTGCTGTGAAAAAGGAAACACTAAGCAAAAAATAAAACGAAAAGGTTACCATACAGAGATACAAAAAACTGTTCAATGTGAATGATTGCAACTATTTTAGAATGGCGTGTGTGTGTAGATCACTGTGTGTTAACCAGTTTTGTTCAATATGTTTACGGTTTATATACAACATGAATATTACAAATAAATTGGTAACACAAGGTACACCCAAGGCACCGGATTCACAGAGCATTGTGGGTTTTCTAGAGCGAACACAGTAAAAATGATTTGCTTTTAGACTGTCTCTCTGTAATTGATAGTATGTACAGAGCTGTATACGGCTGAGGGAGAGAGGAAGATAGAGGGGATGGAGTCACTTCTTTCAACTGTGTGTGGATATTTTCAGCTTAAAGGGGTTCTAAACCATCCGTTTTTTTTGCCTATATCTACTGCTAGCAAGCAGTAGATATAGGCAAGAAGTGTAAATGCATTTTACCCATTAACTACTAATGTAAGGGCATTCTTCCCACTGGCCATACGACTTACCACCATTGTAAGTGGCATTCTTTTTACTGACCACCAGTGTAAGAGGACCTTTCCGCCTTAGTGACCACCATGGACTGTGCATGGGTGGTCAATAATTAAAACATTGGTGGTCCTACAACTACACAATATAAGGGGGTCTTCCTCAACTGACCTCCAATGTAAGGGGGGATTTCTCCACTGACCACCAATGTGAGAGAACACTACAATTTTCACTATCTGCATTTCTTTTCTGGTCATTATTAATGGTTCTATTACATTATTTTACTGAAAATACTTTGCTGTACAGTACAGGCCTGGGTGTCTATTACATTAACTAATATACCCCAAGATGTATATATAGAAAATATTAGCAGGGGTTCCCTGCGACCTGAAAGTTTATTCAATGACTCCTCTGTATTGAAAAGGTTGAGAAAGGTTGTATGAAAGGGTCATTCTCACTAAAGAAAAAGGTTACATAATTTTTTAGGTTGAAAAAAGACACAAGTCCAACAAGTTTCACCTATAGAATCTGTTTAAGATTTTGACAGTTTATCATAGCTCTCAGAGACTGTATAGGAGAGATCTCTTCTGTAAGTTTCTGAGTCTGCACACCTACTGTGACCACTGGGAGGAGTTACCACTGTCCCTGTTGTTGTTGTTTTTTTAGATGTTATATTACAGAGATTGCGACAGAATGAGCCAAAACAAGCAAAGGTAGGGAAGAGCAGGCAAAACTGCTAGTTGGACATAAACAGAACAAGGAATTAAGATCTTACTGTTGAGTATAAAAAACAAAAGAGATGCCAAGGGCTGACTCGCCCAACCAGGCTCCTCCTACAACTAAAAAAAAACACTTTTTGGTAGACAATCTCTTTAAGCGAATGGCATCTGCCGTATTTAGGAAAGCATTAAGATCTAGATAAATCTCGTAGTCTCTTGGCTGACCCCCAAACACTGGAGACTTCTTACACAGCTGTTTTGCTTAACTTCCTATCTGTGTGGGCTTCAGTACTTTCTGAGTCAAAGGCCTTGAAAGCCTTGAGAAGTCTGCAGGGCTTACTTCTAAATTCTGGATCTACAAATTCATTCCAAGTCAGTGAATCAGGAAGCACTGAAGCCAGGTAGTTATGTTCAGAAGAAGAGCTCAGCAATGGCAGACAACCGGTTTCCCTCACGACGGGTTCTCTTTGGCCAACATTCCAGACCTGTGCGTACGTGTACAACATTTTTTTGTATTACATTTTCCCTTTTATGGTTCAGCCACAATGAGTTTCCTATTCCTTACTTATACCGGACATAAATATGACTAGTCAGTGAAGCACAAGGTTTCTTTATTAGCAGACAGCACTGAAGGTTTTATTTCCCATGATGCTACGGAAATGGTCATCCATGTCTGCAATTAATGAGTTTGCGCTATTGTTAGTACAATAGTGGAGCTTTGTTTCCCACAAGGGGAATTTGTGAGATCAGAGTCAGCAGTAATGTTACAGTCCCAATATTTGGTGCTTTAATGGGCTTCTTGGCTCTTTGGGACAACTGTTCTTAGCATGAGGTTTTAACTATAGCTTGGTGCTGTGAAAAAGGAAACACTAAGCAAAAAATAAAACGAAAAGGTTACCATACAGAGATACAAAAAACTGTTCAATGTGAATGATTGCAACTATTTTAGAATGGCGTGTGTGTGTAGATCACTGTGTGTTAACCAGTTTTGTTCAATATGTTTACGGTTTATATACAACATGAATATTACAAATAAATTGGTAACACAAGGTACACCCAAGGCACCGGATTCACAGAGCATTGTGGGTTTTCTAGAGCGAACACAGTAAAAATGATTTGCTTTTAGACTGTCTCTCTGTAATTGATAGTATGTACAGAGCTGTATACGGCTGAGGGAGAGAGGAAGATAGAGGGGATGGAGTCACTTCTTTCAACTGTGTGTGGATATTTTCAGCTTAAAGGGGTTCTAAACCATCCGTTTTTTTTGCCTATATCTACTGCTAGCAAGCAGTAGATATAGGCAAGAAGTGTAAAAAAAAAAAAAAAACGCTTAAAATCCTTGTAAACTTACCTTGTTATTGCCGCTCGTTCCCGCGCCGAGAATCAGGAACTGCTTGTACGGCCGCAAAGGATATTGGGGCGGGCGCATGCGCAGTTCCGATTCTCGGCCGGGAGACGAGCAGAGACGCAAGGTAAGTCTATGGACGCTTGCGCCCGCCTGCAGACACCTCTGGATCGGAGAGACAGAGCAGTCAGCGCTGGATCGGAGTGACGTCACACCGCTGGAGGGACAGAGGAAAACATGGGGAAAGAAGAGGAAGATCGGAAAAAGAGACATCATTTAAGGTAAGTGCTAACATTTACATTGGGGGGAGGGAAATTTTTTTTTGCCTTTAATGTCACTTTAAGCTATTGAGGTTTGGAAACCGGTTTAAAACAAAGCAGCTAAGATTAGCCTACTGGAAAAAAGAAATGAAGGGGTTTATTCACTAAAGAGCCGAAGGATCCAGTCGTAGCTTCGGCTGATCCTTCGGCTCTCTTCGGCTGCCTCTGCCCTTTGGTTTAGTCGAATAAAGAGGCTGCTGTACGGGCTATTCACAATAGCCTGTACAG